GAGTCCGGTTTGGACGTCAATTTCTTCTATTTATCAAACAGTTTGATTCAAACTATTCGTTTTCTTAAACTATTTTCGCAGCATAATGAAACTCATGGCGATATCAAATGTGTGCCCACGATTACAATCAATCGTACCATTCAAGGATAATTTCACGGAAAACGAATCAATTAACAATATTCTCAAAGAGGTTGCTATAAATGTGGAAAACACAGCTGTTTCATGTTCATGGCAACAAAAGGAGCTCAACTGCTCCGACTATTTCATGGGCATTTTGTTAAGATATGAACGTTGTTTCGTTTTCAATGCTATGAATCCCAAGGAAATGTACACCGATGAGTAGGTTTTGCAATGACTTCATACATTTACTGGCACTTAATGAAAGTAAGTTATTTCAGAATGGCCCTCGGTGCAATGAGGCTGAAAAGCAATCCACATTGGAGCTTGAAAAATGGATATAAAAACGAATCCAATGATGAAAATTACCCATTTCATGTGGTCGATGCAGGACAAAGTGCTGCACTTGAAATTGATTTAAAAACGGACAAACGAAACTATCAGGATTTTTGCAATATTAATGTGGGATTTAAAGTAGGTTTGTGCATGCCTGGTGAAATAATGTGGAGATCTGGTGACTTGCCATTTAGTGTCATTGAAAACACTCACGTTCGGATCATACCGCAAGTCACCGTTACATCAGACGGACTGCAGAACTATTCGCCAAGCAAACGAAAATGTTTCTATCAATCCGAGCGTCGATTGCGCTTCTTCAAAATATACACACAGTCAAATTGTGAGTTGGAATGTGCGGTGGATGCGGCAAAAAAGGAATGTGGATGTGTACCATTTGCTGTGCCAAGTACGAACACATTACAATATAGCTTAGGGTATCTAGCTCTAATTTTTCTTCGGATTTTTTTTTTCCTTACAGGAGATAAAGATACAAAAGTTTGTAATAGTGGCGCGGTAAAAATTAAATGTTTTCGAAACTCTTGGAAGATGTTCAATTACGATTGTAACTGTTTGCCAGCATGTAAGTCGATTGAATACAACCACAAAATAGAAACATTTAAACTTGATACGGCCATCACCACAGCTGGCAAATTTAAGCAAATTCAAAACGAAAGCTCGAGGTAAGATTATAGAATATAATCAATTTGCTTGTGTGTATTGTAATGCAAAGTCAATGGTTTTCAGTCAAATACGGGCAAGATTAGTTATTTACTTCGATGATCGCCAAATGGAGGTAACAAAGCGAATTGAACGATACACAGTTACGGATTTTTTGGCCACTTGCGGTGGTTTACTTGGGCTGTTTGTGGGTGCATCTGCAATCAGTTTCATCGAGCTCGTTTACTATGCTACTCTTCGCTTGTTTTGGACAGTTTGTCGGTCTACATCTGAAAATGATACGACCCCATCAACTGAACAAGAGATCAACACTCCCATCTCAGATGAGAACCAAAACCGAACGGGAGTTCCAGTAAGTTATATATACAAAATGATGAATTGAAATGAATTGTATCACATTGGTTCCATTTCTTGTCAGGAAAAAATGTGGATTCGCATTGGTCGCTCCATTCGCATGTTTCTTCAAGATTTTTGTGACCATAGCAACATTCATGGCCTGCGATATTTCTCCGAACAAAGACTACATTGGATTGAAAGGTGATGGATAGTTTGAAGTTTATTTTTCGATTTTTCTTACTTTAACAATTCGGTTGATTTGACAAATCAGGTGTTTATGGGCAATAGCTTTCGGTGCGTCGGTTTGTCTGTGCGGCACCATGATGTGCAATGTTTGGTTCCGATGGCAAGAGAATCCAGTGGCAATGCAATCCAATGGGAACGGAGTTCCTATTAAGGCGGTTCCATTACCAACGGTGACCATTTGTCCCGTAATAAAGACGACAAAATCTAAATTGGATGTGTCTTCGGCACTCAACTCTGTATCAAATTTATCACACATTGAGTAAGGAACTGCCCAGTCTTTTCTTGTCTATTTTATTTTATATTTTACTAACTTTCTTTGTTCGACTCTGTTTCCATCAGGATGCAAAGATTAAACGCTTTGGCTCACGTATGCCCATTTTTACCATATTTGGTGGAATACAAGGACAAATTCGCGAATGATTCAATTTACGAGACGATGCAGGACATTGCTCCTCAAATCATCGATACAAAATATGAATGTCAGTTGAAAGGGGAAAGCAAATCGAATACATGTTCCAAATATATGACTCCAATTTTAACAGCTGAAGGTCTTTGCTATGCTTTTAACGCTTTGAATTCGCACGACATCTACACCGATGAGTAGGTCTTGTTTATTGTTTATCCAAGCGTTAATAGAATCTAAAACCAAGGTGTGAATATGTTTTCATATTTGCGATCCGCTCACACGCACGCTGTCCGCTCTGCAACAGCGACAGACAGTGTGTAGCAAAATAAACATACCAGCGTAGTGGGCTGTGAAGCGTTTAGTGTACACAGATAGATGGATGTATTCTGCTACACACTTTCCGCAGGGCGGACAGCGTGTGTGTGAGCGGATCGCGCATATAAAAACATATTCACACCTTGGTTTTAGATTCTACTAACGCTTGGGTAGTACTTTGGGCGGCAAATATTTTATTGACATGGAAATATTCAATTTCAGAATGGCTCCGGGAATGATGATCGTGAAAAATAATCCAAATATGTCGCACTGGAGCATGGAAAATGGATATGACGATGGATTTCATAAAAACGATTATCCGTACCGGGACAATTTTGCAGACAGCGGTTCTTCTTCTGTAATTTATCTAGACTTTTCTGAGAGTGATTTCGATAGTCAGTGCGGCGGACGTGATCAAGGATTCAAAATAATAATGACTGCTCCTGGCGAAATATTGAAAATGACTCAAACCTATTTCAAAATACATCCCTCAAAAGTAAATGCATTCGCAATCAATTCGAAATTGATCACCACCTCAGACGGACTACGTCGATATGCGCCGAGTCGACGACAATGTTTCTTCAACTCGGAGCGTCGTTTGCGCTTCTTCAAAATGTATACGCAGCTCAATTGTGAAGAAGAGTGTTTGGCGAACTACACGAAAACCGAATGTGGATGCGTGAAATTTCACATGCCAAGTATGCGGTTATTTCGAGAGTTAATTGTGTAGTTTCGATTTACATAGTTGATTTGGGATTGAACTAACTTCATGACTCTATTTTACAGGAGATAAAAATACTAGAATCTGTGGCGGTGCTAGCATTGGGTGTTATAAATCTGCCTTATAAGGAAGTTCTTTATCACCGAATCAATTCGTATTGAATGCAATTGCCTACCGGCATGTACATCGGTCGGATACAAAGCAAGCTTTGCTCGATATGAATTTCAAGAAGATTCAAGGAAAAATCATCGAAGATTGACAGTAGTAGCGTTCAATTTCAATGGTATGCATGTTGACACCGTGAGGCGAGTGGAAGTGTACACAATCATCGATTTCTTGGCCATCTGTGGCGGTTTGCTTGGACTATTCTTGGGCATTTCCGTATTGAGCATCATTGAACTTATTTATTTCTCCACTCTTCGCTTGTTCTGCGCCTTTCGCCATCCAAGAGGTGAACTTACAATGCGTCCACCGCGTCATACAGTTCATAGAGTGATTCAAGTTATTCCGGTTGACGAACACAGTGAATAATTGAATATTCACAGTGGGCTATGAAAACGTGAAAAATTAGTAACACAACTATATTTGAAACCAGCCTCTCTGATCGTCGGTACAAACAGATAGAAAACGTCAAACAAGAAAAAATAAAGCGACACTTGGAGACTGGTTGAAGAAATAGAGAGAATCATGCACATAGTTTGCTATAACAAGTACACGTCTGTGTTAGTGCGTCTGTGTTTTCGGATATTTATGCTCAGTAAAAATCAATTAATCACGCTTCATATCTTCTTGTCACATCAGTTTTTCTTCACTTTATTATGCACGATTTCGATGTAACAAATATTACGTTAATGTACTATGCACATAAAAGAAAATTAGAAAATATCGTCAAGCTCAACAGTTTAAATCGGGTTTAATGGCAACATGAAAATCGCAATTTCATCATTAATGTGGGCAGTATCAAGGTGTTCTCGTGGAGAACATATACAAAAAATGAGGTTACCTGATGAAAAATTGACTAGGCGGTATAACTGAAAAAATCGTGAGCATGACTAAAAACCGTGACCAAAAGTCGTGAAGTCGTGATTGAAAGTAGTTTACTTACCTTGTTCAATTCGTTACACCGATAACATTTTCGTTTTCATTTCGATGCGAATCTATTGAATAAAATTTCCTCACTTGTTTTTTGTGATTAACACTGTTGCTTTTTTTAATTCTTCATTTTTTTCATTGTGAACAAAATATTTGGAAATAATAAAGTTCCTTTACTTCTAGAACTAAATTTAGTTTGATTTGAATTCACAAACAAATTCAATAAAGAATTGTTTCTTAACGTTGAATGCGAATATTTACTTGTAATACAATTTTTAATGATAATTTTTTTTGAATTTTTGATTATAACAATCGAAATTAGTTCGTCTTTGACATATTTTGAAGTGAAAAAATGATTCGGTAGCTGTTTTAATTTCTTTCACAAGAAACTGAACTCTGAAATGATTGAAGCTTTATGTAGCTTTCAGCCCGAAATCATTACCATTATATCCCCTATTTTGGTTGCAAAAAGCGTTGAAGAACAAAATTTCTGCACCAAGTTGGAATGTCAATGAATTTCCTAATGTTTCAAAATTGCATTTTTGAAAGAAATTCTTTGATATTTGCTTGAAATCATTACAATTTATACAATTTCTTAACATAGCTTATGTTGAATCAAAGTTTATGTTGTGAAAATATGATTAAAATAAAATTAACGGTGAAAACAATTTTTTTTGGACTTTTCGGTTGTTATATGAATTGAAATATTTCATGCTTTGAGTGTGGTTGAAAACGTGGATTCATTTGGTACATTTACGCACTATCCGGAAAATCAATGGCGAATTCGATTGTGAACGCTATTTAAATGTTCATTCAAACTGCTTCTTCGGGTAAAACGCTTCAGACAGATTTCACAACGGAACGGTTTTTCTCCGCTGTGCGTTCGAACATGATCTTTCAAATGACCTTTGTGCACAAACGAATTCTTCTTGCAAATATGACATTCGTATCGTGGTGATTTGCACACTTTGACATGAGCATCGTGTTCGGTCTTCTGCGTGAATCCTTCAAAGCAACCGGCGCAATGGAAGGCAAATTCTTTAGCATGAACTTTTGCATGTCTCTTCAGGTTGTTCATTTTTGTGAAACATTTGTTGCAACGTCTGCATTGATGTGGCTTCTCGCCTGTGTGAATGCGTTCGTGTACTTTAATGTGATGGTTATGATTGCTCGAATATTCACAGAATCGGCACTTGTGTCTCTTCGCCACTTTTGAGAACATTTGTGCGGGAGTTGTTGTCATTGTGCTCGTTTGCATTGCATTCTTACTTGCCAACGAATTGTTGTAGGAGATGTTGTGGACCGAACGAGAATTGGTGTCGTTCAATCTTCCTTGCACGCTTACACCAGCACGTTCGATAGCCGCTAGATCGTTCTTCTTGTGGCTGACTGCATCAGTCTGTGTTTTACCGTTTGGACGCGTATTCATCGGACAATCATTCCATCCAATTTGCATTTGTCGACCATCTCGAACGGAAACCAATGGAATGTCTTCGCCGATTCGTTCTGTTTGTGGCTCCGTTTTGACAGACACCTTTCCCTCCGCCATTACAACGTTGTTATTTTGGTTTGATGATGCTACTAATCTGGATCGAGCCTCATTTCGATTAGAACCAAGATTCACCGCCGTTTTCCCATTCGCCTTCATTGCCTCGACTCTGTCCGTGATTGGTCCATCGATGACATCACCTTCATCACCTGAATCAACGATCAAAACCACGTCGCCTGTTCCATTTGGCTTATTGGCATCAACTCTGGTCGATCCTAGGCCAATTGGATATTTTGGTGAATGTACGACGCGATTACCTTCTTTGACAGTTTCACTTTTAATTGCGCTCGTGTTCAACAGCAATTCCATTTCGAACTTGGAGTAAGTCATACCTAAACTGAAAGCAGAAAGTTCAAACATTCATCATATACTTTGTCATGCAAGCAATTGGCTTCTCGATCACAATTGCATACCCATTATTTGAAGCACCTAGAAAATATTTCTTAAAATCCTCGTTAAACGTTCGTCCGGTTCTCTCAAAGCAATTTCGAATGTTTCTGAGCGAGATTAATGCTTGCCGAGAAAATGCAGCGAGCATCTCATCCATTTCACGCATCCAATCGTTTGCCGACATTTTGGTGTCTGAAAAATTCAATTCAACAGCAATGATTTAGTGGGTTTCACTATAGCAAGTGTCTGTAGAAGTACAAAATGTGCTGACTAGCCATGACACAAAGCGTATCATTCAGAGTGAGGTTAGGTTAATTCCAACCACATGTTCATTAATCAACTTATTTTTCTTCTCAATTTATCGAAGTATTTTCTTTCGAACCAACAGGAATTTGGATCATTTTTAAAAATTCCATTGAATGGTTTCAATTTTATATTCTTCTACATTTGCTCTCAATTTTCCGATTTGTTTTGGTTACGAGTTAACTTTCGATCAATTCCGTCGACACACTTACCTTATGCAAAAAAGAACGCTTTTGAATTTAGAATTGTTCGTGTGCAATTTGGCAAGAGAAAAATAGAATATCAACGCTATTTCCACCAAATAAGCTATGATTATCTATAAAACACACTTTTAATTACAATTTATCTATTTATGTAAAGCAAAATTGATGAATATTCGTCTTTATTTGGAGCGGACGGTGTGCAATGCAGCAAGTGAGTGAACAGAGTGAGCATATCTGTCAAACTACGGGCCATCTGTCAGAATGTAATGAAAGACCGCGAAAAACACACAATGTTTGACAGTTCAGCTAACAAAGAAGTTTCGGCGTAGTGTTCAGTAGCTGCTAGGTCCAATTGAGCGGATGATTGATTCTGGTGTTGATTCCAAGTAGCCATACTGAATGTAAGTCAAGAAGCAATGAGTTTGCATCGATCTTCCGTTGGCAAAATAATCCTTGAATCAAAATGTTTCTAACTCTTATTTATTCTACTGGAACAAATCCAAACACACTATTTCCAATTTTGTTTCGAATATTTTTTTATTTTAATTCAAATTAAATGTGTCACAAGGCATTTGTTTGAATCAATTTTTTTAAAATTATGCAGCTTCGGAATAAAGCTTATGATGAATAAGATTTTAGGTTGTAAAAAATGAATGAATGAATGAACTTTGAATGATGTCTGTATTATTTATCTATTGAAAAAATGCTATCTTTCAGCCGCTTAATGAATTTGTAGAATATTGGATGCTTCAAGTGCTATTTAAAGCTCGGATTCAGTTGGTACATCCCAAAAACTAATGACGGATCCGATTGTGAATGTTATTTAAATGTACTTTCAAACTGCTTCTTAGGCTAAAACGCTTCAAACAGATTTCACAACGGAACGGTTTTTCTCCGCTGTGCTTTCGCATATGCACTTTCAAATCCCATTTTTTCAAAAACGAATTCTTATTGCAAATATGACACTCGTATCGTGGTGATTTGCACACATTGACATGAGCATCGTATTCGGTCTTCTGCGTGAATCCTTCAAAGCAACCAAGGCAATGGAAAGCAAACTCTTTAGCATGAACTTTGGCGTGGTGCTTAAGGTGTTGCATTTGTGTGAAGCCCTTGTTGCAACGTCTGCATCGATGTGGCTTCTCGCCGGTGTGAATTCGTTCGTGTTCTTCAACGTGTCCGTTCTTGTTGCTCGAATATTCACAGAATCGGCACTTGTGTCTCTTTACCACCTTAGAGTACATCTGTTTTCTAGTAGCTGTTTTGCCGTTCATTTGCATTGCCATTTGACTTGATAGCAAATTTTCGGAAGAGACACTGTCGACTGGACGAGAATTTGTGTCGTTTGATTTTCCTCGCGCTTTAGTGTCAGCACGTTCAACCGCTCCTGTACAGCTTCCATTGTGGCTGGTTACATTAGTATGTGTTTTACCGTTTGAATGCGCATTCATCGAAGCTTCATTCAATTCCATTGGAATTGGTCGACCAACTTGAACGAGAACCAATGAAATGTCCTCGTCATCATTCGTTTTCGTTTTATTTGGTTTACTGGCTTCCTTCTTCACCTGAGCCTGATCATCGTCCCTGTTATTCGACGCAGTTTCACCGTTGCGTTTACTATTTTGGCTCTGATTCAAAAATGCTATAGCACCATGTCTTTCCATGATAACGCCATTTGCCAACGCAGCTTCTGCACCTGGGGCCACTTTCTGACCTGTGCTCACAACCGGTTCACGCGAATTTTCTTCATCGTCTGATGAGTCGAGAATACAAATCTTGCTGCTGTTGGTTGATGTTGCATCACTTTCTGTTTTCAACACAACTGAACTTTCTGAACATTTCTCGGCTTGGGAAATGAAAAGAAATAATAGATTGCATCAATTTAGGTAGGTATAGGTATTATCCAATTTACACTGACTGGACTCAATAAATTCAGAGTTCAAATGAATGCATAATGTGACATTGAAACTAACCTGTATGAATGCTGTTTTCCTCAACTGCAGATTGACTGGAATTTGTGTCACTGCAGCCAATATGAAGCATTGAAGTGTTGTTGGAATTGAGAACCATCTGTTTGCTGCCATATCTTTCAGTATGAAGTGCATGTACCAATAGCTCGATTTCAAAATTGGAGTAGGCAGCAACCAAACTAATTGAAATGAACTAAATATTGATTGACGCCCAGGAATTGCAATTCCTGACAAAATGTTGTCAGAAAAAATTACCTGTTATTTGAAACATGGAAAAAGTACTTCTTATATTCTTCGTCAAAAGAGCGACCCTCCTGATCAAAGCACTTTTTAATTTCTCGCAATGATGCTATGGCTTCCCGTTGTAGGCCCGCTGCCATCTTGTCCATTACGGTCATCCAATTGTTGGTCGACATGTTTTGCTGTGGAAATTCAACCAAAAGCAATGACGCAGTGAATTTCAATGCAATTTTCTATGTGGAAGAAAAAGGTGTTTGTTTAAGTGAGGTTTGGATCGAATGCGAGTTGGCCGAGGTGAAATACGTGTTAACGTACCATTTCCTAGGCGGCCGATTTTGAAATTAGAAATGGGCATTTGGTTTTATTGTTACGGAGAATCGAGTATCTGCCTGGACACTTACCTTGTGCAAATAGAACCCCTTCGAATTTATAATTGTTCGTGTGCAATTTTGCAAAAGAAAAAAAGAATGTCAACGCTATTTCAACCAAATAAGCTATGATTATCTATAAAACACACTTTTATCTATTTATGGAAAGCAAAATTGATGAATATTCGACTTTATTTGGAGCGGACGGTGTGCAATGCAGCAAGTGAATGAACAGAGTGAGCAAATCTGTCAAACTACGGGCCATCTGTCAGAATGTAATGAAAGACCGCGGAAAACACAGAATGTTTGACAGTTCAGCTATCAAAGAAGCTTCGGCGTAGTGTTCAGTAGCTGCTAGGTCCAATTGAGCGGATGATTAATTTTGGTGTTGATTCCAAGTGGCCATACTGAATGTAAGTCAAGAAGCAATGAGTTTGCATCGATCTTCCGTTGGCAAAATAATCCTTGAATCAAAATGTTTCTAACTCTCATTTATCCTACTGGAACAATTCCAGACACACTATTTCCAATTTTGTTTCGAATACTTTTTTATTTAAATTCAAATTAAATGTGTCTCAAGGCATTTGTTTGAATCAATTTTTATAAATTTATGCACCTTCGGAATATAGCTTATGATGAATAAGATTTTAGGTTGTAAAATATGAATGAATGAATGAACTTTGAATGGTGTTTGTATTAATTATCTATTGAAAAAATTGTATCTTTCAGCCGCTTAATGAATTTGTAGAATATTGGATGCTTTAAGTGCTATTAAAGCTCAGATTCAGTTGGTACATCCCAAAAACTCAACCACGGATCCGATTGCGAATGGTATTTAAATGTACTTTCAAACTGCTTCTTAGGCTAAAACGCTTCAAACAGATTTTTTCCGCTGTGCGTTCGCATATGCACTTCCAAATTCCTTTTGTGCACAAATGAATTCTTCTTGCAAATATGACATTCGTATCGTGGTGATTTGCACACTTTGACATGAGCATCGTGTTCGGTTTTCTGCGTGAATCCTTCAAAGCAACCAAGGCAATGGAAAGCAAACTCTTTAGCATGAACTTTGGCGTGGTGCTTAAGGCTGTTCATTTGTGTGAAACCTTTGCTGCAACGGCTGCATCGATGTGGCTTCTCGCCTGTGTGAATGCGTTCGTGCTTTCCAACAGACGCCTTAAAGTTGCTTGAATATTCACAGAATCGGCACTTGTGTCTCTTTACCACCTTAGAGTATATCTGTGCGGAGGCTGTTGTCTCGGCACTTGTTCGCATTGCCCTCTTATTCGATGACGAATTGTTGGGGGAGATATTGGTGTTGTTTGATTTTCCTCCTACGATTAAATCAGCACGTTTGAAGGTTGCTGCACTGCTTCTATTGGTTCTGATTGTATTGACAGGTATTTTACCGTTTGAGCGCGCATTCATCGAAGCGTCATTCGATTCCATTGGAATTGGTCGCCCAACTTGAACGAGCACCAACGCAATGTCCTCGTCATCATTTGTTTCCACTTTGTTTGGTTCACTGGCTTCCTCTTTCACCTCAGTCTGATCATCTTTCTTATTATTCGACGCATCTTCATCGTTGCAACTACTATTTAGGTTCTGATTAATTGATGCGGTGGCACCATGTCCACTTCCCATGATAACGCCATTTGCTGAAGCAATTTCTTTGTCGGCGACCACTCTTTGACCTGTGCTCATGATCGGCTTTTCGCGCGAGTTTTCTTCATCGTCTGAGTCGAGAATCAGAATCATGTTGTTAGCTGGTGCTTCATCCCTTTCCGACTCCAATGCAACTGCACTTTCTAAACATTTCTCGACTTTGGTGACGAATTGAAACGAAACAAAACATTGCATTAATTCAATTTTTCATATAATCTAGTTTTGCAACATTTATTCGGTGTTTGAATAAAAGCATAATGTGAAATTGAAACTCACCAGATTGAATGGTGTTTTCTCCAGCTACCGATCGATTAGAAACTGCATCATTATGACACACGTGAATCATGAAATTATCGATGGAATTGGGAACTACCTGATTGACCGCGTTGCTTTTGGTATGACGTGTTTGCAACAGTAGTTCCAGTTCAAAATTACAGTAGGCGGCAACCAAACTGAATCACAAACAAATGACCGCACATAAATTAATTGAACAAAACACAATTCTGAAGTAGAAGAAATGGTAAACAATGCTACCTATTGTTTGAAGCTTGGAGAAAGTACTTTTTGAACTCTTCGTCAAAGGAGCGGCCCTCCTTATCGAAGCACTTTTTGATGTCTCGCAGCGATGACGTCGCTTCATCTAAAATCCCACGAAGCATCTTATCCATTACGGTCATCCAATTGTTGGTCGACATGTTTTTCTGTGAAAATCAAACGGGAAGTAATGACACAGTGAATGTAAATACAATTTCCATATGAATGGCATTGTGTTGGTTAAAGTGAGGTTAGAATCGAATATGAGTTGGCACTTTGTACACTGTGAGTTGGAAAACAGGTGGAACTCTTTTTACACAATCAGAAAAATTTCAGTTCGAAATTATCAACATTTCTCATCCAATGAATGCAACAAATTCTGAATCGATACGAATTCGTTTTATATTTTCTTTCAAAATTGTACATGAAAAAGAACACCGAAAGTTGTTACTGAAGGAATTGAACTACGCATTTATATTGTAAGGGAGAATTCACTCATTTGCGTCCTTCTTTGACTTTCACCAAATCTGTCGACTCTCTTACCTTGTGCAAATAGCAAATGTGATCTGATCGTCCTTGGATCGAGTTTTTGCGAGATATTATAGAAAAACTTTGACTGCCAATCAAATTGCAAATAACTATTCGGTTTTATTGCTATGAATGATCGCGTTGGACTTAGATTTATTCCGATTTTCAGCTTGAAAACTAAGAATTTCGCAATTTTAATTGCAGCAAAAAAAGAATCGATGCACCAAATACGATGCGGTGTGAAATATGTGTGACAATTTAGGAGCTGTCAAACAGAGAGCGCCTTTTTTCAGTGCAGCTCGTAGAAAGACAGTCCAACGTGACTACGTCGTGAAGCTACGTCTTATGTTAGCAATGTTTCTTTTTTACTTTAACGTGTGATAAGGCCATAAGATAATGCGGGAAAATTTAAAACTTTACCATTTTATTATTTATATACATTGTTTGCTTCAAAATTCAAGTATTTTAGATTTAAATCACAAATTTTACTCATTAAAAAGAATAGTGAATGATAGTTGTTCTCTGTTGAGAATCTTTTGGCATTTTCTTTCAATGATAAACAAAATGCACAAGCCCAACTGACGACAATTCATTTGTTATTTTTATGTCCAAGTCCAATTCCATTCCAGCTAATTTTCAAAGCAAACATTGAACTTGAATTTAATGCCGAATCAATTTACAAAATCGTTGGACCCATTATAATATTACTTATATCATAAAATTCATTTAAAAAAAACGTATCAAGATTCAATGAATCTGAACAAACATCTCGAGTGGAGTGAAAACACAATTTATTGGGATCCACCTGATTTGGTGGTTCACCTGGTGAATCATTCAAACAGAATATATTTTACTATCACAAACCGTCGCAAATGAATCATCGTAAAAACATATATTTATTCCGTTATCTGTGTAGTATTCGTTCTAGCTTTGATACTAAAAATGAGTATATGAGTCTCTACAGCGGCCAGTAGATTTCAGTTCGTAACTGTTATTTCAGTGGAAGATCGTGTTATTCATAAGCTAAAAATGAATTCGAAAGTGTGCTTTGCTGTCATTCTACTTCTTGGCATTGCTTTGCGCAATAGCAGTGTCGAGGCAGTCAGCCAGTCAATCAGTGAGAACTCTGGGTAAAACTGAACGAAAATTATATACTGAATCAGATTATTTAATGTTCTTATTCATGCATTTAACTCCATTAGTTTAGCTGCTACTTCTGAACGAATGAGAGTTCGACGTAGTGCTCGTTTACCTTGCGAAAACAGTAGATGCACATTCGCTTGCATGGGTGCAGGCTCAAGTGGTGGTAGCTGTGTGAATGATAATCTTTGCTGGTGCTTTAATGGCAATTGTGATCAGGGAAAATGTTTTTCTTCTTGCATGAGTCAGTATTTGATTCGATTTGATTGCTCAGTTCGGAAAATGGAAAAGAATTTTCGTGAATCATTGCTGCTATAACAATCACTGCAGGCAACAGTCCATGCTAGCGATCGAAGCATAAATAAATCAAAAATTAGTCGAGCCAAAATTGTGTTTGAAGTTTTAATTTGTTGAATTCACAGTTTCACGGAAAGCATTGTAGTATTTGTACCGAATAGATACAATTAATTAGGAATAAATATTAGGAAAGAATGTTGTCACGCCGACACGAACAAATGGCCATACTTCATCCTGTGTAGTTTTAATTTAACAAATGGCTATGACCTTTAAATGAAACAATTGCTTGTTTTCTACTATTTTTTTATTTCGAATAAAATGTCTGAAAAATATATTTTTTTTATTGATGAAATCGAAGGTAGTTTAATTTTGAACTACTAATGATTTAAATCGTTTTGCTTTAAATGAAATGAGAATAATTGCCTACATTTTCGTGATAGTTTCTAATGATGTTTTGAATTTTAGACTGTCATAATCAACAGGGGTAGGTCCATGAATGACATATTTTGTTGTATAAACAAATCGAGTAGAGCTCTAAATACGTAGCTGTGTTATCTAAATGGTCCACTTATTAAATATGAATATGGTTTTAGATACGGTTTTTAATTGAATTTTTTTTAAAGAATGACAATTATGATTGATGAATGTGACCATCGATATTGAATACGATTTCAAGCATTGATAATATTTTGTATGTTGTTCGAATGACATTCGAAGTTGAATTATTGAACGAGATATTTGGAAAATGCATTGAAAATTAATGGCGAATTCGATTGTGAATGTTATTTAAATGTACATTCAAATTACTTCTTTTGGAAAAACGCTTCAAACAGACTTCACAACGGAACGGTTTTTCTCCGCTGTGCCTTCGCATATGCTCTTTCAAATGACCTTTGTGCACAAACGAATTCTTCTTGCAAATATTACATTCGTATCGTGGTGTTTTGCACACTTTGACATGAGCATCGTATTCGATCTTCTGTGAAAATCCTTCAAAGCAACCAAGGCAATGGAAGGCAAATTCTTTAGCATGAACTTTGGCGTGGTGCTTAAGGTGTGTTATTTGTACGAAGCCTTTGTTGCAACGTCTGCATCGATGTGGCTTCTCGCCAGTGTGAATTCGTTCATGACTTTTTACTTGTGAGCATTTGTTGCTCGAATATTCACAGAATCGGCACTTGTGTCTCTTTGCTACCTTTGAGGACATCTCCACTGAAACTACAGCCTTGGCCTTGACATTCGTTTGGATTGTCTTCTTGGCTATTATTGAATTTTTGAGGGTGTCGTCGACCGTATGAGAATTGGTGTCTTGCACGCTTGCGCTGGCACGTTCGATAGCCGCTGCATCGTTTTCATTGTGGCTTACTCCACCAGCCTGTATTTTACCGTTTGGATGCACATCCAGCAGATCATCACTCGGTTTCATTGGAATTGGTCGACCAATTTGAACGAGAACCAAAGGAATGTCATCGTCATCATTTGTTTCCTTCTTGTTTGGTTCACTGGCTTCTTTTTTCACCTCAGTCTGATCATCTTTCTTATTATTAGACGCAGTTTCATCATTGCTCTTGTTATCATTTTGGTTCTGATTCATTGGTGTCATTGCACCATATTCCCTTCCCATGATAACGTCATTTGCTGAAGCAGCTTTTCCGCCGGCGATCACCTTCTGACTTGTGCTAATCAGTGGGTGTTCACGTGAATTTTCCTCATCGTCCGATGAGTCGAGAATCAGAATCATGTTATCGGCTGATGCTTCATTCCCTTCTGACTTTACCACAACTGGAACGTCCAAATGTTTCGGAGGTTAATTTTCGAATGGAATTAAAATAATGAATTATTTCAATTGAATATATGACCTAATTTGCACTGGTTTTAATAGATAAAAATATCAAGTAGAAATTTACCCGCATGAATGCTATTTTCTTCGGATGTCGATCGATTGGAACTCCCAGCTATTCGATCCATGTGGAGCGTAGAAGTATCAGTGGTTTTCGGATTCATTTCATTATCGGTCACAATATTTTCAGTATGAGATGTGTTCAACATTAGCTCCATTTCGAAGTTAGAGTAGACCCCAGACAAACTAATTTTAATCGAATAAGCAAAATAAATCAATTGAATGAAGCTTCTCAAATTGCAATTTAAGGCAGAAATGTCGAAAAATGCATACTTGTTCATTGAAACTTGGAAAAAGTACTTCTTGAATTTTCCATCGAAGATGCGACCCTCCTGATCAAAGCACTTTTTAATGTCTCGCAACGATGATGTGGCTTCCTTTGAAATTCCATGAAGCATCTTATCCATTACGGTCATCCAATTGTTGGACGACATGGTTTTCTGTGGAAATTCAACCAAACGTAAGAACGCAGTGAATGTGAATACAATTTTCATATGAATGGAATTGTGTTGGTTAAAGTGAGGTTAGAATCGAGTATGAGTTGGCACTTTGTGCACTGTATTTTGGAAAACAGGTGGAACTCTTTTTACATAATCAGAAAAATTTCAGTTTGAAATTATCAACAATTCTCATTCAATGAATTCAACAAATTCTGAATCGATACGAATTCATTTTCTATTTTGTTCCAAAATTGTACATGAAACATCGTCATTCACCAAATCTGTCGACTCTCTTACCTTGTGCAAATGTGATTTAATCGTCCTAAAATCGAGTTTTTGCGAGATTTTTTAGAAAAGTTTCGACTGTCAATCTAATTGTAAATAACTATTCGGTTTTATTGCTGTGAATAATCGCTTTGGACTTAGATTCATTTAGATTATTAGCTTGAGAACTAAGAATTTCACAATTTTAATTACAGCAAAATAGAATCGATGCAGCAAATGCGATGCGGTGTGAAATATGTGTGACAATTTAGGAGCTGTCAAACAGAGAGCGTCTTTTTTCAGCGCAGCATGTGGAAAGTTTGACAATTCAACGTGACTACGTCGTGCAGCTGTGTGTTTGATGTTACCGATGTCCATTGTTACTTTCACGCATATAATATAAGAAAATGCAGGAATACTTAAAAAGTGACAGTTTAATAAGTTTTTGAACATTTTTTGTTTCGAAACTCAAGTATTATTAATACAACTCCGCATTAAAAAAAAACGCTATGTTTGCTGCCTTTTGCTCAGCACTTTCTTCATATGTTGTTTTCATTCACTCCAGTTCAATTTTATTCCGTCGTTAATTTCAATGAAAAAAGAGTATTTTCCACGACTTATAAAAAATGGAAAAATTGAATCATTTCAAACGAACAATACAGGATTTTTCTTTTTCGTGATTTTCTATCCAATGAAAATCATTGTTGATTTCTACACTTGTGTGATTGATTCCATAGCTGATAGATTCAATGGAAACTCGAAATGTCGCTTGTTTTGAACTTTTTTCCAATTACATATTTCCCATCAGAATTTGTCGATAAAACGCAGAATTAAATTCACACACGGCATTACATTCAAAAGCTTTTCAATCAAATTAAAATTCACACGAAATAATTTAGTGGTTTTATTTGTTAGACCACGCAAACACACAATGAATACAAAACAAATATTGGACGGATCTGCAACGGATAAATCCAAAGGGTTAGACACAAATTCATACTCAAAAAACACTCGGCGATACTGGAATCTACTCGGTGCTACTCGGTGCCATTTGGTTCAGTGTAATGTGTAGTATACACGGAGAACTGTCAAAGTCAACTGAGTGTTTTGAGTGGTTTCGAGTTTACATTTAAAATGCATGGATGTACTCGGAACTACTCGGTGCAAAATGAGACAAATTCGTCAAAACATGTACGTTAGAAAACTGTGTCTACCCCCTTGGATAGATCTCAAGTTCGAATTTTACCAACTGTCTTTTAAAATGACTTTTGTGACTGAGCAAAAAATTAGGAAATAATATTGCAACAAGAACAAAACATTCCTTTCAGTTGACATTTATTTTAACAAGATTTTTAAAAACATTGCCTTGAAAACCGTCAGAAATGACGCATTTTAGAGTATTCCAATATTTTAAAATAGAATTGTGAATTCACTGATTACATTGAAGTACTCAATAAAAAAACTACGCTACAAATATACCGCGTGTATTCCCTGCGCACGGATAGAATACTTTGACTTAGCGTATTCCATCCGTATGCTTTGCATGCGGTTCACGCTAAAAATATGCCTTAAATATACCTTCGGCTCTGTATTAAACTATGTATAAAATAAGCGTAAGCGTGAAAATGGTATAAACGTAGCGTGCGCAGGGAATACACGCGGTATATTTGTAGCGCAGTTTTTTTATTGAGTATTTTCTTCTTCGTCTTTTTACGTGGAAAAATCCAAACGATTTTTCTCATAATTCCGTTATTGGACCAATCACGCCCCTCGATGTCATTCCTTCGGTTGTTTTAATTGACCTGAAAAATAGTTTGAAAAGAAAGAGATCAATGATTCATTGATTCAATGAAGCTTCAATCTTTATTTCTGTGCAAAATTTACCCAGAATCGATGTTTTTATCAGCAGGTGAGGCATCGTTACTGCTTGAACTGCGACAGAGAAAACGAAGGAAAGCAAAGCAATTTCCAAAGCGCATATTTCAACTACTTTGATTAATAATCAATGATTATTCCATTTAAATTGAATCAAATAATTTGAATTATTTGATTGAAAATTTTATTTAAAACTTTTTTCAACTTGAAATATAATACCGAATTTCATCGGTCCAACTGATTTCGGGTTATAATGCCCATTTAGAAGAGACATTGAAAGTGAAGAAAGTTGTGCCAATCGCCAGAAATAACTTTGATAAGGCAAATCGAAAATAATTTGATAATAACAATGGAGTTTTGAATGACGCGATCGTTGAAAAAGGAAATAATACTCGCATTTATACTGAAAATAAGCGCATATTCTACCGAATTTGGATCAATATGTGTCAATGCGTCTCAATGTGCTGAATAAATAGATACGAATACATCAAACAAGGTAGATAAAATACGCGTATTTGCCACGGTTATCCATGCTCACCACGAATGAATCGAAGCAACAAAAGAAAACAACAATTATAACACTACACTACGCAGTGCAAAATTTACACTGCAAATGCTTGTGATTATTTGTCAATACAGAAAATATACTAACAGTCCTTTCCCCCTAGAAGAAAGATAGAGAAGCTTCCAATTTCCAAAATTCTTTATGATTTCAATTGATAAGAATTATCATCACATTTTAAATTTTGTTTCATCAAATTTAAACACATTTTAAGATAAGAATGGACTTGTATGCTATTTTACTAAACCATAATCGTTCTTGAATTGAGAAAGGAATCTTTTTTAATGTTATTTATGGACTTTGTTTAAATTGTTATTTCCAATGATTCATTTACATCAATTCGGGGCATCAAATGATCTCTTGGACTTGATTACCGGTGACAATACATTGTATTTGATAAAACACAAGCACATCCCTCACATTGGTAAATGATTCATCTGTTGAAAAAAATCGCACGGAACATATGTTTCATTTTTCATACAGTTTTATAGGAATAAGAAAAAAAGTGGGTGATAACAGCTCAAGCCCCGACGATGAATGAACGCTTTGGTTTTTGTTTCCCCTCCATTGCATAACTTCAGGCAATACTGTCGCTTTAAATACAGATAAACATAAATTCAATAAAAATTGGTTTCTTTTATCAAATTTACTTTTTATTTAATTTTTCTTTCAATTAGAAATATTCGTATGTCGATTACACACTCAAACTCAACTTTTTACGCAACGTAATAGTTCCTAATCGAGGAATCTTATTTATGGACATTTTTACCTTGCTTATTCTCGTAGGGTGACAAAAATATCAATATTGTATGTTCGTTCCTCTCTCACACATCGCAACTGTTGTTATCTACATCGGTTTTAGCTACCACATGACGCATCTATGTCTCAATTTCGATTCGAAGAAATATTTTCTTGATTTAAAAAAAAAGAGTGAAAATAACATAATAATCCAAATTGAATTTTTTTTTGGATTTACGTGTGATCTTAAAAATGAAAAAATGAAATAAAATTTCTACTTTTCACACTAAAACAATCATAATAATCCAAAAAAGTATATTTATTTTCAACTAAAATATTCGTTGGTTATAACTTCATACCATATTAATCAACATTTAACAAGTTTTTAATGAAAGTTATCACTTTCACATATATGAAATAACCACTGAGTTTCACGTGCAATTGCATCTTTCACTCTCATCACAGAAGCCACTGGAGTTCTTATTGCGCTTTCCATATCTTCGGCAAGCTTCAGCACATATACTTGAACATGCATTTTTTACATATTTCTTTGCTGGTCTTTGTCGTGCCCCTAGTGCTTGTCCACTTTCTCTTATTTTTGATGTTTGGCCAGAAGCGAAGCTCGAAATTGCACCATCAAATTGATTTGGATCATCAGCAGCAAAGCGGGAAAATGAGCTTGCAAATTGATTTCGGTCATTGCTAGCTAGAAAACTGTCGCCCTCAAGGTTGGACACATCAAAGTTAAACCATTCACTGGAAAATTAATTAGGAAATTGGATCAGCCTTCTGAATGGTAGTTTATTTAGAATCAAATTTTGTTTCTCTAAACGATTTTTGTTCTGCTTTCTTCAAATCTGAACTTTTTTCTTCAAGAAAAAATCGTTTTTCGAATCAAAATTGCTTTCAAACCAAAACTTAATACATTTTCTTGAATTCCAAACATTTTAATGTTTAAGTCGAGTTAATTACGGTCCCATTTGTATAAAAATGAACATTTACTCGTCATATTTATTATAAAGGATGGGTGAGGTGATTGTGTTTCCGAAGATGACACAAAAACTAACAATAAAACACACTTTTAATTTCAT